AAAAACAAAACCAGAAACAACTAGGGAGGATAAGGAACTGGTATAAAAGGATTCATAAACTGAGATACCTTTTGCACTCAAGGAGTTTAGGACATGTCATCTCAAAGTATGCCCAACAGGTATGCTGATTTTTTGAAGCTAAAAAATCACTGGAAGAATTGTGATTTTCTCCTGCCTTTTCCTACACAGAATTTAAAGATTTCAGTAGGAAGGGATGTCCTTCACCAGCAATACCAAAAAACATTTATCTCTCCTTCTCTCATACATGCTTCCATATATAGTTCTTTTTTTAAAATTTTTTTTAAAGATAGAGGAGAGAGAGAGAGAGAGAGAGAGAGAGAGAGAGAGAGAGAATTTTTAATATTTATTTTTTAGTTCTCGGCGGACACAACATCTTTGTTTGTATGTGGTGCTGAGGATCGAACCTGGGCCGCACGCACACATGCCAGGCGAGCGCGCTACTGCTTGAGCCACATCCCCAGCCCCATATATATAGTTCTTAATAATATACATAGAATGTACCCTCCTAGTCCAGACCTCCAAGGTCAAAACCTCCAAATGCAAGGGCCCAAGCTAATTAATCTGACTTTGACTTACAATTTTGATTTTTCTTTGTAGAACAGTGTATTTGTTTTATCTGTTCTTGAGATCTAAAAACTGAGCTACACACTCAAAAAGGAGAAAGTTTATTGACTTTCAAAGACAATCCACTCAAAATTCATAACAGTAATCTTTTGATTTCCATCTGAGGCAAACAGCTGCACCCTGATACACAAAGACATTTGAAAGAATAAAATTAGGGGCTGGGAGGTATAGCTCAGTGGGAAAGAATTTGGTCTAGCCTGAGACCCTGCGTTCAATTCCCAAAAATGCAAAAGGAAAGAAAGAAAAAGAACTGATGGTGTTCCTCAGTAGTAGGGCATTTGTCAGCCATGTCTAAGGCCTTGAGATCCATCCCCAGTATTAAAAAAAAAAAAAGGGGGGCAGGGGATGTGGCTCAAGCGGTAGCGCGCTCGCCTGGCATGCGTGCGGCCCGGGTTCGATCCTCAGCATCACATACCAACAAAGATGTTGTGTCTGCTGAGAACTAAAAAATAAATATTAAAAATTCTCTATCTCTCTCTCTAAAAATAAATAAATAAATAAATAAATATTTAAAAAAAGATCAAAGAAAGAATAATGCAATCTCAAAAGAAAAAGAGATAATACAATCTTATGGACAGGCGAGACCACTGGAGCTACAAAACCCATGTTATAGATACTAAAGGCAACTGTCTTTGTCTTGAAAATTGTCATTACAAAAAAACGTACTTCTGAATGCTATTTAAAGCCCACCTACTACCTCAGAATGCCTACAGGAACTGGGCAGGGGATAGGACAGGACATTAGAAAGGAGATTGTCCTGTCCCCTCCCCCCAACAACAGAAAGGGAAAAAAAAGTATAGTTTGTTCTAAGCACTAAGTAGGAAAATATATGTCTTCCTAAATTCTTTTCCTTGATAAAGACTTACAGTATTTCCCATTTCATTTTGATTTTTACTGGGCTTTACCCATGTTAAGCTGGTATTCTTCCAACTGAGCTATTTTTTATATTTATATTTCAGTCTGAGTTGCCCAGGCTGGCCTTGAACTAGCTACCCTCCTCCCTCACATTCCCAAACAGGTGAAATTATAAGTGTGTGCCACTGTGCCTTTTTTTTTCCCCCTTCTGGTATAGGGAATTGAACCCAGGAGCGCTTAACCACTGAGCTACATCCTGGGTCTGATTTATATATTTTTTTGAGACAGGGTCTTACTAAGCTTCTTAGGGCTTTAAACTTGTGATCCTCCCAACTTGGCCTCCTGAGCCATTATAGATGTGCACCATCGCACCTGTCCTGACTTGTTCTTAATGAATTTTGTTACATAGCACTGGTGAGAGAGATGGCTAACTCAACTTTTTTTCTAGGCAAGACTACATCCCACCTGGTTTTACCACCTGAGTTTTTCTTATTCTGAATTTGATTTTCATTGCCTTCATATATCATTGATCATTGTCTCAAACCTCAATCAGGTGATATTTGAAAAGGGGTCCACAGTAAAAAGGGGCCTATCTCAGTCTGAAAAACTGCCCTAAGAAAAGGTATGGAGTCTTCTTTTTCCTGCTTTGAGAGTTACACTTCAGACTGACAAAATATGCCTGAGTACAAAGAAGGTTAAGAAATAATACCCATCCGGGTGAGGTGATGCATATCTGTAATCCCAGCGGTTTAGGAGGCTGAGGCAGGAGAATTATGAGTTCAAAGACAGCCTTAGCAATGATGAGGGGCTAAGCAACTCAGTGAGACCCCTTATCTAAATAAAATACAAAATAGGGCTGAGGATGTGGCTCAGTGGTAAAGTGCCCCTGAGTTTAACCTCCAATACCAAAAACAAACAAAAAAACACTACCCTAGTGATCCTGTTATACATTCATTTGAAGAGCTGCTTTTCAAATCTCTGACTCTTGGCCTCATCTTCATGAGCCCTACTTTGTTCTACATCCAGAGGAAAAAATACAAGGCTTAGAGAACATTTAGAAAGCACATAGATAATCCCTTCCTTTGAGTTCAAGTTCAGCACCCTATATTGACATTTGGCACCACCAGGTGGCAATCTTATGGTCTGAGAGAATACCACAGAAACTATAAAGTTGTAAATCAACTTGCAAATAATCTACTTTAAAAAGTTCAGATAAGGACTGGAGCTGTAGCTCAGTGGCACAGCGCTTTGCCTCAAATGTGTGAAGCACAGGGTTCGATCCTCAGCACCACATAAAAATAAATTATTAGATAAAGGTACCGAGTCCATCTACGACTAAAAAAAAAAAAAAGTTTAGATAAGAGCCCAGAGTGGTGGCAAACTCTTATAATACCAGCATCTCTGGAGGCTCAGCCAGGAGGATCACAAATTTGAGGCTAGCCTTAGCAACTTACTGAGACCCTATCTCAAAATAAAGAATAAAAAAGGGCTGCTGGGAGTGGTGGCACACGCCTGTAATCCCAGAGGCGCTAGAGGCTGAGACAGGAGGATCAAAAGTCCAAAAGCCAGCTTCAGCAATGGCAAGGCACTAAGCAATTCAGTGAGACCTTGTCTCTAAGTAAAATACAAAACAGGGCTGGAGATGTGGCTCAGTGGTCAAGTACCCCTGAGTTCAATCCCTGGTACCAAAAAAGAAAAAAAAAGAAAAAAGAAAAGGGCATAGCTCAATGTCCCTCAATCCCCAGTACCATAAAGAAGAAGAAGAAGAAAAAAAAATCAGAGAAGAGCTGGGGACATAGTTCAGAGTTAGAGTGTTTGTATAACATTCCAGAGGCCCTGGATTTGATCTTTTTTTTTTTTTTTTTCCTTTTTCAAAGCCAAGGACCAAACTCAGGTCCCTGTGCATGCTAGGCAATCACTTTGCCATTGAGTTAAATCTTTAAACTCCAGATAACTTTAAAGTTGTTTCCCCAGTCTCCTGTCCCTTATGCACT